GGGCGTGGTAGCGTGCGCCTGTAGTTCCAGCTACTTGGAGGCTGAGGCGGAAGGATTGCAGGAGCCCAGCAGGTCGAGGCTGCGGTGGCCAGGAGCCTGCCACTGCACTCCAGTCTGGGTGACAGAGTGAGACTCCAACTCAAAAAAAATAAAGAAACAAAGACTATCCCTTCTCCACTGCATTGCCATTGACCCCATAGAAATATCAGTTTCTATGTTTGTGTGAATCACATTTCTGGGCTCTCTCTTCTGTTCCACTGAGCTATGTGTCTATTCTTTCATCAATATCATGCTATCTTGATTATTGCATGCTATTATCTTTTTTTCCCTGGTGTGAATGTGCTGAGACAGATTTGAGAGGAGTCATGGGGAAACAGAAAAGGCCCCAGGTGTCTGAGAGAAGGGGTGGTGCCACAGAGAGGGTGGGGAAAAGATGCAGAGGCTTGGAGGGCACTGGGCTACATCTTTCATACCTTCTCTGGAGTGGCCTAGACACTGATGGGTTCATTTTGGGTTAACCATGAGCCTGAAGTGCTCCACCTGGTGGCGATTTGACAGAATCCTGCATCTATCCTCACATAAATTCCCAGAGCAGACCAGCTATTCTTTACCACCCCTTTCCTGATTTATCCCACACCACAAGCAGGTTACCTACCTTAACAACTTTCCAGACAAACAAAAGGCCCACAAATGTTCTGTGCTCCATAAAGGATTCTATTGGAATTCAAGTACCTGGCCTACTAGAGACAGTCGGACTAAACGTGTGTGTGTGTGTGTGTGTGTGTGTGTTGGGAAGTCTTACTCAGTCACCCAGATTGGAGTGCAGTGGCATGATCATGGCTCACCATAGCTTTGACCTTCTGGATTCAAATAATTCTCCTGCCTCAGCCTCCTGAGTAGCTGGGACTACTGGCACAAGCCATTAGGTCCGGCTAATTTTTTTATTTTTTGTAGAGACAGGGTCTTGCTATGTTGCCCAGGCTGGTCTCGAACTCCTAGGCTCAAGTGATCCTCTTTCTTTGGCCTCCCAAATTGCCGGGATTACAGGCAAGGAGTGCAGTGGCCACTCCTGGCCACCGCAGCCTCGACCTGCTGGGCTCCAGCGATCCTTCTGCCTCAGCCTTCCAAGTAGCTGGAACTACAGGCGTGTGCTACCATGCCCGGCTCATTTTTTATTTATTGTAAAGATGAGGTCTCGCCAAGTTGCCCAGGCAGGTCTCGAACCCGTGGGCTCAGGCAATCCACTCACCTCAGCCTCCCAAAGGTTATTTTATTTTGAGTTGTAGTCTCATTCTGTTGCCCAGGCTGGAGTGCAGTGGCACACTCATGGCCACCCCAGTGTCGACCTGCGGAGCTCTAGTGATCCTTCCACCTCAGCCTTCCAAGTAGCCTGAACTACAGGTACGTGCTACCACACCCAGCTCATTTTTTTTTTTTTAATTGTAGAGACAAGATCTTGCCAAGTTGTCCAGGCTGGCCTCAAACCTGCAAGCTCAGGCAATCCACTTGCTTCAGCCTCCCAAAGTGCTGGAATTACATACTGCGCCAGCAAGCCTGGCCTGGTTTTATACTTAAGCCACTTCATTGATGGCCACTAGCAATTCCAGGTCCATGTTTCATCAGTTTAGCATCCCCAGTGGAGGTAATTTTTTGCTTCTCTTATTGATGCTGCATTAAGGCATTTGGGATGGGAAGGATTGTTGTAGCTATCTTTGAAACCAATGTACCAGAGAACGGAGTCTCTTTTCCAATAACTTGAGCAGAAGTTCTGAGTGGATGATGCGTTGGTCCTGCTTGTGTCACATGCTGAGCCCTGAACCAATCTCTGTAGCTAGGGGAGAAAGAATGTGTTGAGCAGCTGCCTCTGGGCATGCATTCTCTGAGAATGAACCATGTGGGCTTAGAATGATGGAGGACCAGTTCCCCAAAGGAAAGTCAGGTGCTGGTACTAGAAGAGCAATGGACTTGGAAGTGGTTAAAACGATTGCTGTCCATTCCCCCCACCACTCAGAAGCCTTCAGTGCCTGTCTGGCCTGTCTGGTTGCCCACAATGTGGCCTCTGCTTGTTCCTTTAGCCTCATATCCTCATTTCTCTAAGCTTCCCTTCTGCAGTTCTCCAGACATGCCTACTTTCCTCTTCACTGTGCCCATGCCTCACTGGTTTCCCACAGTGATCATTCATACCCTACCTCCTAGCCTGGCCAAACTCCCACTTGCTCTTGAAGAAACAGTCTAAGTGCCTCTCCTCCCAGAAGACTTTCTCAAACCAGGTCAGTGACATAAAAAAGACTGAAGAAGGCTGCCGTATGTGAACAGAAAGAGATGAGGGCAGACAGTTGAGGACTCCTCCATCTGTCCAGAAAAGAATCTCCAAGCAAAGTCAAAACCAGCCACTCAAAGCTCCTAGGGTTACTTCATTAATATTTTGAATTTAAGCTGGCACTGTGGTGAGAGGATTGCCTGAGCCCACGGGTCTGAGACCAGCCTGGGTAACATGACAAGACCTCAACTCTACAACATATCAAAAAAATTAGCCAAGAGTGGTGGCACACGCCTATAGTTCCAGCTACTTGGAAGGCTGAAGCGGGAGGATTGCCTGAGCCCAGCAGGTCAAGACTGCAGTGACCAAGAGCGTGCCACTGCACTCCAGCCTGGTGACAGAGTGAGACTCTGACTCCAAAAAAAAAAAATTGAAACTGGATGCAGTGGCGCACGCTTGTAATCTCAGCACTTTGGGAGGTGGAGGTGAGAGGATTGCCTGAACCTAGGGGTTGGAGACCAGCCTGGGCAACTTGGCGAGACTTCGTCTCCACAATAAATCAAAAAATTATTCAGGCATGGTGGCGTGCACCTGTGGTTCTAGCTAATTGGAAGGCTGAGGTAGAAGGATCACCTGAACCCAGCAGGTCGAGGCTGTGGTGGCCGTAAGCTTGCCACTGCACTTCAGCCTGGGTGACAGTGAGACACCAACTAAAAAAAAAATGAAGTGTTTGAAGTTTTGCATATACATGTTCACTGTAGCATTATTTGTAATGGCAAAGAGCTTCCCAAATATCCTGTACTAGGAAATGAGTTGTAATGACCAAGATTTTTTCAGCAGTAATTGACAGAAACCCAGCTCAAATTCGCTCAAGAACAAAAAGGCATGTAGTGGCTCAGGAAACTGAGCAGTCCAAGGAACTCAGTTGACATTGCTAGATCTCCATCTCTTTTCTTTTTTTAGAGATGGGGGTCTCGCTATGTTGCCCAGGCTGCAGTGCAGTGGCTATTCATAGGTGTGATCATACCACACTACAGTCTCAAATTCCTGGGCTCAAGCGATCCTTCTGTCTCAGCTTCCTGAGTAGCTGGGACTACAGGCACAGGCCACTGTGCCCAGCTGCCCCCTCCATTTGTTGGCTCTGCTTCCTTCAGGTATGGAGCTCATTTTCTCCCACTATTGATTGTTTTCCTCCATTTATGGGGGAAGGGAGAACAAGGCAGAGATAACTCCAGACTTATATGGTTTTTGACTTATGAGCTTGGAAGAAAGAGAAAGCTTCTCTTTCCCAGAGGCCCAGAAGCTTCTTTTTCCCCAAGAGACTGTCCTGACTTGTTCATTCCTGGGCCAGTCTCTGTGACCAGAGGAATAGTGTACTATGATTGACCAAACCGGAGTCAAGTGGCTAGGGGGAGGCTGTGGTGATTAGCTGTCCCATTGGAGCCACATGGAGCTGAGAGGGGGATGGAGAGTTTCCTAGACGACCAGGATGGCAAAATCTAACTGATACAACATTGTATTCCAGGAAAAGGCATAGTTACAAAGACCATGTGGCAACATGAAAAATGATCATAAAGCAATGCTAAGAGAAGACAGAATACAGATTCGAAACTATGATGGCACCGTGCAGTGGTGCATGCCTGTAATCCCAGATACTCAGGAGGCTGAGGTGGGAGGATACCCAGTCTTTACTCCTCCACCAAAAAAAAAGAGAGAAAAAAGAAAAAGAAAGAAAGAAAAGGGACTATGATGGCACTTTGTGATATGGGACAAATAGAAATATTTTGTGGGCGTGATGGGAGAATAGGTTATTACATCAAAAATCTTCAGTATCACCTGGTGCAGTGGCTCAAGCCTGTAATCCCAGCACTTTGGGAGGCAAAGGTGAGAGAATTGCCTGAGTCCAGGGGTTTGAGACCAGCCTGGGCAACTTGGCAAGACTTTGTCTCTACAATAAATAAAAAAAATTAGCCGGGCATGGTGGTGCACACCTGTGGTTCACCTACTTGGGAGGCTGAGGTGGAAGGATCACCTGAGCCCAGCAGGTTGAGGCTGTGGTGGCCATGAGCGTGCCACTGCACTCCAGCCTGAGTGACAGAGTGAGATTCCTACTAAAAAAAATGTATTTTTATGCCAGTTTTCTGGATTTTCTTTCCAGTGTCTTGTTTAGGGTGTGTGTGTGAGTATGTGTGTGAAGTTCTGACAAAGGCAAGCTCCTGGGTATGGACAAAGGCCCCCTGAATTCTCAACTGGCCCTTGGATCTTCCTCCCACCACCCTACTTCCCAGGCTAGGGTGTGGCTAATTCCACCCCCTCAGTTGTTCTGAACATACCTCCTGCCCTGGGAGCTCAGCTCCTCAATCATAGGGAAAATTAGAGGTGAAAGGGACCCTCCCCAACTCCTCCAGGGTCACTGACTCCCAGCCAGTCTACATGAAAGCCTCTCAGTGGGACAGGGGGTCAGGGACTAGAATCCAGAGAAATGCAGACTGAAAATAGTGAGCAGGAGGGGTCCCGCAAATATTATACTCACATGGAGGAGACATCGCAAATTCCCCTCCCCCTTACTCCCCCCACTGCCACATCCAGGTGCCCCCTTTCCCTCCTCTAACACACAACACACACACACACACACACACACACACACACACACACACACACACAGCCGACACAATGGCCGGGTGGGGCTGAGGAACTGGCTTCCTCCGCAGAGATCTCAATCTGGGTCCCCAGTTCCCGCCCCAGAAACACAGGAATAGACACTTGGAGACCTCGGCCCACATTCATCTTGCTCCAAAGGGCAGACAGGACAGGCTGAAAATAGACACTGCTTCCAAAAAGATAAAGGTAAATTCATGGGGAGGGAGACCCGGGGAGGGGGGCTTGGTGTGAAATAGTAGGCTGGCTCACACCCAGGGAACAGGGTGGAAGCTGAAGAGACAGGTTGTGCAAGTCATGGAAGAGGTGGTGAGAGTCATCTCCTAGCTCAGGCAGAAGCATCGAGATGCCCGTGCTGTACAGCCAGCCAAGCCCCTGTGCCATCGGCACCCCATCCTCACCCTGTCTACCCCCAGCCCTGGCAAGCTCCCTGTCCACACAACTGCGTGGGTGGAACCAGCACATGCAGAACAGCCCACTCTCCATGCCCGAGTTTCAGCGTTTCCCCAGACCCTGTTGGCCTCCAAGACCCTGGACACTAGGTCTCTCACATCTTCCAAGCCCCGGTGTGCGCATGTGGAGTGTGGTGTGTTGGGGGGAGGCGTCCGGTTGGGAGGAGGATCTGATTCCTGTTTCCTGCACCTACTCACTCAGCCCCAGGAGGTGACTGAGAGTGGAGGGGACTCAAGGGTGAGTGCTCGGGGCCCTGAGAACCCGGGTCCCTGAGTGGGGGGGCGGGGAAGGACGTCAATGTAGGTACCTGAGAGGGGAGCAGGATCCCTGAGGGGACAGACTGGGGAGGAGCTGGCCAGTGGTGGAAGCCACTGCGTGGGTCATCTCACTGAGTGGTTTCCTGTCAGAGCACAGAGGCTGTTGAGCTGCAAGACTCAGTCTACAGCTCCCAGACCCTTCCCCGTCCCCCGCATCATTTCTCAAGAACCCAGTCAGGGGCTTGGAGGGGTCTGACTTTCCTTCTGTCTCCTGGAGGGAGTTTGGGGGCTCCCCTGTTTCCCAGCCCTGGCCTTACAGCCTTCTTAGGATTGTAGTCTCCTTCTCCATGGGAAGAGGAGAAGCCCAGGCCCTAGCGTCCTGGCCCCATTGGTTCTTCAGTCTAGTCTCCCAGCCGGTCACCTCCCCAGACCTTCTGGCAGGACACAGGCCTCTACTGGGCCTCTCTCTGTCACCAGACCTGGGATAAGAGGATGGAGACAGGAGAGACTGTGTCTAGCGCTATATAGGAGACCTGATCTCCAAGGGTCAGAGGCTCCAGGAATCTTGATGGCAGGAAAAGGAGACTAAAAATAATCCGGAAAGGGAGAGTCCGGAGAGAGGAACTGGGAAATGGGGGGCGGAGGGCCCATCGGAGCAGGGAAACAGTGATGCATCCTCACAGCCCAGGCCTGGAGTACACTCACACGTACACAGGTTGCTACCAGACACAGAACACACCACACACATACACCGCAGCACCCCTGTCTCCTACACTCACACTACACTCCTTAATGGGCCACACACCACACACTGAGCACTCCACTCAACCCTGCATAGAACAAGCACACGCTCACAACATACCATACAAGCCGCCACTCATATAGCATTAGAGGTAGCACACACACAAACCACATACACAAACCTCCAAAACACACACCACCGACACACAGTTCATCAGGCAGACATGGAGTGGCTACAGTGGCAAGCAGATTCCTCTTATTGAATCTTGTTGATTCTCTGGAAACCTCCCCCCTCAAACCTGGCTTTCTATCTTAGCTGAGCCGACTTTCCCCACCCCAGCCTCACTGTCTCCTCTGACTGGACTATGGCAGCAGGGGGATTCACTGGGCCCCAGAAATGAAATGAGAAGGGAGAAGGGGAAGTGCACCAACCTTCCCTCCTGATTCCAAAATCGTGGCTTCAGATGGCCTCAGCCTATTCACCTGGGGGTCTCTCTCCCTCCCTCTTCCTTAGGGTATGACTCCAGCAGTGTGCCCCAATCCTTTGAAGAGCTCAGAGGAAGATGTCAGCCCAGTCCCTGCCTGCAGCAACACCCCCTACCCAGAAGCCCCCTCGGATCATCCGCCCCCGTCCCCCTTCTCGCTCCCGGGCTGCCCAATCTCCAGGGCCTCCCCACAATGGCTCCTCTCCACAAGAACTTCCCCTAACCTCCGATGATGCACCAACCCCAATGTGCACCCCCATCTTCTGGGAGCCCCCGGTCACATCCCTCAAACCCCCCGCCCTTTTACCCCCCTCAGTTTCTAGAGTCAGCCTGGACTCTCAGCCTTCCCCGGACTCACCTTCCAGCACCCCTGCACCCAGTCCGGTGTCCCGGCGCTCCGTCTCTCCAGAACCTGCTCCCCGGTCTCCAGTTCCCCCACCAAAGCCCTCCGGGTCACCCCACACCCCCCTTCCCATGCTCCCCACGACTGGAGTCTTGGCCCAGGATGGCCCTGCCTCAGCCCCTGGCACTGTACGGAGACTGGCTGGCAAGTTTGAATGGGGGGCTGAAGGCAGGACCCAGGCTGCAGTCACCCTGGAGCCAGGTCCTCAAGGGAGAGTGGATGTGAACGGGGAGAGAGAGGCTCCCCTCACAGGGAGTGGGTCCCAGGAGAATGGCGCTCCGGGTAAGTGTGTGGTAGGGGTGGGTGACCTCAATCCACCCTGTCTTTGTTTTCAGTTTTTTTTTTTTTTTTTTTTTG